CAGTACTAATACTAATACTGATAATGATGATAATAACAATACTGCTACTACTTATAATAATGACATTGATAATAATGATAACGATAATGATAATGATGGCAATAATAATAAGGCCATTAATAATATTGATACTACTAATAATAATGATAGTAATAATAGTAATAATGATAATGATAATGATAATAATAATGATAATAATAGATAATAGTAATACTAATGATAATGATAATAATGATAATAAATGATAACAATAATAACAATAATAATAAATAATAATAATAAAGCTAATAATCTTGACAGCACAACCGCGCCGCGACCCCGCCGGCGCAGCACTCACTGAGTCGCGGCAGGACGACCACCAGCTCGTAGTCGATGCTCATGCCGGGCTTCATGTCGCCGGCCGGAGGGTTCTTCTCGATCAGCGTCAGTTCGGACGAGCCCGTGTCGCCGTCGTCGGCCGGGGTCTGGGGGGGGAGGCGTTAGAAGGGGGGGGGGGAGGCGTTAGAAGGGCAGGGGGGAAAGGGGGTGTGGGGTCAGCCTGCTGGGGGTGTCCCCCTCCCTGCTGGGGTCTCCTGCAGGGGGTGGGGTGGGGGAGCTCCCATCCACGCACTCATTTCGTTTTGATTATCCTTTATCTACCTAATTAGATCTTGATACTTATCTGTCTTCCTGTTTCTTTACTCATTTCGGTCTATTCATCCGTATTTGCTTATGGATCTACCAATCTTTACATATGAATCCATACGATGTATATCACACACACACACAAACATATATATAAATACTCGTCTATATCCATATAAGCAGAGGAGCGGGCGCTTCCCGGCTCGCCCGCCCGGCTCCCTCCCGCCCTCGCCTCACCTCTCGCTTCCTCCGGACCAGCGTCTGCGGGCCCAGGGCATCCCGCTCGTCGCTGTCAGGGCCCAGAGGTTCCTCGAATCCTCCGTATCCTTTAGCATCCGTTCCTTCTTCCTCTTCTTGGTTCCTCCATCTTTCCTCGTCCTGTGTCCCGGTTCCCTCTCCGTAGTCCAGCTCGTAGTCCCTCGCGTTCACGACGACGTTGCCCTCGAGCGGCGCGGCCTCGAACGGGTCCTGCGGGCGGAGGGGCCGGTCACGTCCGATGCGCTTCCTGTGGCTTAAGATATCAGTTTGTGCGGTGCCCTTATCGGATGCTTTGACCAGTGCATATTGTAATGTCCGAGTCAGTTTATATTTACTTTACTTTATATTTATCTTTCATCAGCTTATTTACCATCTCTATCAGTTTATTTGAATATATTTATAACGATATATATCTTTCATCAGCATATTTCCTAACTCTATCAGTTTACTTGAATATGTTTATCATTTATTGTCTGCACTAATAAAATTAACTAATTCGTCGGGTGCTGCGCGCAGTAAGATAAATAATTTCCTGCAGTAAATACATATGCATTGCGTGCCTGAGGATAATGCACTTTATGATTATATAATGATATTCATTAATTATGACAATCTCTTAACGATTCAGAAAAACAAAATTAGATAACAAGGATTCTAAAACATGGTAGACCGGAAGTCCCGATTTCGTAAATAAAAGCCTAAAATCAAGGAAAAATACGCCCTCAAACAGGCTAGAGGCCAATGTCACAAGGAAACAAATAAACAAACAACAGTAGACATGCAGCGCATAGAACAAATAGCTCAAAGTGACTGATAAATACATGAATATTTCCGTTATAAAATATCCTTTCCCACAAGAAAAAAACGTATATATTATTATATATATATATATATAATATATATATATATATATATATATATATTATATAATATATATTGCTCTTCTTTCTCATGAGGCAAACACAACAAAAAAATCTATTTTCTATCTTTCTCTTTTAAGAGCTGGGGCTCATTTCCCCCAAAATGATTGAGAAGAGCCTCCCTCCTCCCTTCCTCTTCCCTTCCCTGCGTGTCCCTTCCTTCCATCGCCTGACCTTGGTCTCCAGGAGGTCCTCCAGCTTGTCGTCGCTGCGGACGACCACCGTCAGGGTCTGCACGTCCATCTGCAGCACGTTCAGGCTGTCGTGGCTCTCGTTGGCGTCTGCAAGGGCGCCGGGACGGGCGGTCAGGCGAAGGGGGTGGGGCAGTGAGGGGGGGGGGGATGATGATGCAGCAATGATTTTAATCTTAGTAATGATGTTAATAACAATGATGGCGCTGATGGTGATAAAGATACTAGTACTAGCAGTGAACGCTATTATAATAATTATGATAATGATGACGATAATGGTGATAGTAATGATACCATTTATAATAATGGTAATGATGATTATCATATAAGATGATCATAGTAATCCAAATTGTAGTATTAATAATGTAAGAATGTTAGCAATTATAATGATGCTGGGTATAATGATAACATGAATACCAATATCAACGATATTAGTAGCAATATCAGTAAATATCAACAAACACTAATAAAATTGGTGTTAATGGCAATAAAAAAGTGTTACTAAAGGCACTCAGAAAGTGTAAATCTCCGACAGTGCCCCCAAATCCCCACATCTTAATGATGAAGAATACACAAGTGTCCCCTAAAATGACCCCGCGAGACAGGTTCATTTTCTCTGAACAGCTGCCGATGCAGCCTGGCTCGGGACGGACCCGACCGTAACAAATCTGTCCACCAGTAACTGTTCCCTCCTGCTGACAGACCGCCACCGCAGTCAGCAGCGTCGTCAGCGAGGGCCTGACACTAAGAGCGAGAAGACCCGACACTCACTGGCCGCCACGATCTCCACCTGGTACTGTCCGCCCGGGCGGGGCAGCGCGCCCTTCTTCAGGAACATCTGGCCGGACGAGTCGTGGATCTCGAAGATGTCGTTGTCCTTGTTCTCGCTCTCGAGGATGACGTAGTGCACGGCGGCGCAGGGGCAGCGCGTGTTGAGGCCCGGCCCCAGCGGGCACGTCAGCCCCAGGTCCTCGTCCTCCGCCACCGCCTTGTACACCACTCCTGCGGGAGGAAGGGGGGGGGTAAAGGTCTTGGATTTTTTTTACTGCGTGTCATCTTTCATCGTCTATGGTCTGCCTTTTTTTTATTTATATATATTTTTTAATCTTAGCACTCATTTGCTGCCATTTATTTATTCTTTTATTTATTTATTTTTTTATCATATTTCCTTTTTTCGTTTTATTTTTTTACGGTAGTGCTTGCGTGTGATTCTTACACACACACACACACCACACACACACACACATATTATATATATAATATATATATATATATATATATATATATATATATATATATACAACCATACATGCACACGCAGTCTGCACCACATGTCCATAGCTGAGGCGGAGTAATTCTGCAATTGCTATCAATGGCCCAGCGGCGTCCTTAGCCCTCGGTTGAGAGGGAAAGGAAAGACACCATAACATCTATATGGTATGGTAATATCCTTTTTTTGTTTCTGACGGATCTATATTTATTCAAATTTATAAAGAAAAGGTAACTTTGATTCACAGGGTTTCACCATTTCCCTTTTAGGCGAAGAGGCCTACACACACCAGCCAAGCGGGCCTTCGAGCGTCAGTGACAAACCCGCTCGCGCCTTGAGTGCGGGGGAAGCGCTGGCCCGCCGTGCGCTGCATGCGGCGGCAGCGGTAGAGCCCTTCTTTAACTCTCATTCTCTCTCTCTCTTTCTCGCTGTCCTCTAAGCAAAGGAGAGGTAGTGAGTGTGTGAGTCACTAGTGTGAATGAGAGAAAGAGAGAGAGAAGAGAGAGAGAGAGAGAGAGAGAGAGAGAGGAGACGAGAAGAGGAGAGA